CAGTCTCGACCTAGACCCACTCAATACTTATGCATGCTGAGCTCAGCAGCAACCCTTTAATGTTCTCTATGTCTGTTTGGAACAACATATTCTTATTATTTGAGACTTGTATTGCTATTTGATTACTAAAGTTTGTCCTTGTTTGCCGTATAGCGTGAGAGGGTAGCAAAGTGTGGGGGGAAATAATGCAAAGTCATCAAGATTATTATGTGACTCAATCAGCCTAGATTCAGAAACCTACATGTTCATGGGAGCTCGTTTTGGCCCTTAAAATACGCATATGTTATTCCGTTATGTGATCTAAAATTCTGTATAGCTTACGAAAAATATTGCCTGTCATACTTTTCACTAAATTAGGGTTAGTAACTTTTACGGTATGCTTAGTTTAGAGGTTTTATACTACTAACAATGATGAATAATTTGCAGTCAATATGATGCGTTGCATTGCAAACATCAAGTTAGATTTGTTTTTTTGTTTTTTACATTATGTAATTTTAAGTGATCCTTTTGTAATTGAATATAGCTATTCTTATTTTTATTTAACAACACCTTATAAGGTATAGATTAACAACGCAGGCATATACTGTGCAACAAATTTAAGTTTATACAGATAACTGCCATTATTATTTTAATTCATACGGTAATTTCAGGGATTTAAGACACAATTTTAATTTATTGTGGTTTATCTACACAATTTCTGTATTAATAAAAAAAAACCCGTTACTACCTAAATGTCATTTATTATATAACAATTTGTTCCGATGGTAATTATTGCATACAACACTCAAATCTGAAAACCGACACGTAAGATTTATTTACTGTTCAGATGTGTTCTATAATCGAAATCAGGAAATCTTTCCTCATCCTAAACCACTTAAATTCTAATCTGCCTACGTATCCTACTTCATAACTACCTAGGCCTACTCATAACTTCTAAGAGAGCTTGTGTTTTCGTTTATAACCTCTCCTTGCCACTGATAGTGATGCAAAGACTCATTGTACTAACCACTCATTGCATCGTTCATTATCAATTAAAAATGGTTTTAACCGGTGATAAGTTAACGTTCGAAGCATTTCAGTTTTACTTTTTTAATCTCATAAACATCATCTAACTTTTTATTCCTTTTTCTCAACAACAGCACAGAGCAAAGCTCGGTCACCTGGTACTGAAACATGATGAAAAGCTATGTTTAACCAATCCCTTGCTCGCCAAGCCTATATGAGCCAAGCAAGTATTCAGTTCCTTAGTAAGCTATAATAATTCCTTATACTTTATTTTTAGTATCCTAAGCAGTAGATCTAACACGACGATTTGGAGGCTGTGAGAATAAGCTTCCCTCCTGCTTCAATGATGAATTAAATATTTCCAAATCTAAAATTTCTAATGGCTTCCCAAGGCTTCCCATGGTATATGGCTTTCCATTTACTTGGAAGAATAGCTTATGAAAACTCTATTAAAAATGTTTAGCACGTTAAACAAATTCAGTAACCTAAATTATTTTAAAAGCTTACAAATATATTAACAAAGACTATTTGCATGGATAATATTGAGCAAAAACTGGTCTTAGAATTTACGAATAGTAATGAGAACTAGATCAAAGCTTGGTCTCCAGGTACTTAAAAAAATGTTGATACGAGATTTATTATAATTTCTAATATTACGCACCGTTTAAGTACCATCCAACTTAAACAACATACTTGGTAACACTTTCTTTTAGTCGTTGCAACATAAGCTGCCTATACTGACGGCTGACGGCGCTGCCTCCCCTTCCCCCACAACCCCACGGGTGGGTCACATGACCTCCTGGTCCTTCTATACCCATTGGTCCATTTCCACCAATCACGACCCATAGGTTTTTACTAAACACTGCAATAAAGCTAGATTATTTTAACCCGCAAAGCAAGCGTACAAGCAAGTACATAGAATCTTTTAACTTAAGTAAGTAACGAATTTTGGAAGATGCTTATCCACGCCTAAATTGTGGCCAATGTGCTTAAATTGCTTAAACTGTCGCAATGAAGACTAACCGGATTCCCTTTGAATACAAAAGCATATTTACAAGTTTATTACATGTTTACAGCCACAGGTAATCTGAACATACATTTTCACTAACAGTTACGCAAACAACGGGGCTTTAGCTTCTGGACACGTTGATGGTGCATTTATTATTTTTTGTAATTTTTTATAGAGTTGGTTCCACCCCTTGTTTCAACCCTCAAAAGCGTGCGTTGTTCAACCGTGAACCCTCCCTCTGGCGTTCATGGAGCGTAACTAATGTTGTGGTAAAAATACATCTAAATACGGCACGTGACTTTGAGTATAATCTGACTTTCAATCCCCGTTAAAAGCGGTTTAGGACATATTTAGCCCAGGGGGGTGTTCAAACGCTTTCATAGGCGTCATTCATACATTTAAAACCAGTCAATAGATCGTTTCTCTGTTCTCTCTTTTTCACTGAGTTTTCAAACAGACAACTGTTCAGCTTTGGTTATCGCAAGTTTATGTTATATTAGGAAATAATGTGGAAGTTTACCACAAAATTTGTGAAATCAAAGTTTTCACTATGTTTTGGGATATGGTATCTGATAAAATTATCGTCCTAACAACTAAAAATACCCCCGCCGCAGCAAACCTGCAGACTAAGCGAATTTCCATTTGACTGATTGGATTTACACTGAAATGTCTACTTAAAAATATAACATTTATTCCCTATTTAAATAGAATTAGTTTAACAAGTACTTAGGTTTGCTGCATCAGGGAGGGTAAAAATTTTTTTTTTGTAAAATGTTAATAGTTAGTAAGAAATAAAAACATTTTCCAAATTTGATCAAAATATGTTCATAAACAAGCAAACTACAACAGTTTACTTATTCTCCATAAGAATAACATGGGAATTTTAAATTTACAATTTTTTGGAATTTTCTCTGTAACCGTTAGGCGCACAATATCGCTTCAATATACTAAATTATTTGTTTTTTTAAGCTCTACAAAATGGTTTGGAAATAAATTGCAAAATTTTAAGTTTTTTGGGTCAAAAATGGGAAAAACCTATTTTTACCCCATAAAACCCCCGTAAACACCCGTTCCCATGGTCCGATCATGCTGGATCGCGAACTCGTTCGAATAAACGTAGGTTTACACGTTTGTACCAAATTTCATCAAAATCGGATCATTTTTGCTTGAGTTATCGTGCTGACGGACACATATATGTATATATATAAATATATAAATATATAAATATATATATATATATATATGAATTTGAACGGATGGTGTTTTTGGCCTCTAGGGACCTCAAAACGAAAAAAAAAATCGGTCCCGCGTCCAGGTCTTACCATGAGTACTACGGTAATAGCTTATTCCCTATATGGGAAATTCGCTAAAAACATGTTTATACACGAGGGTGCATCATGTGAGACTGATATTTTACACCAAATTTGCGTCTCAGGCTCACTAACTATTAGCAGATGTATGCAATGTGTTCACTCCATTGTAGATGTCGATTATTGTTTTTAATTAAAAATTCTTTTTAAAACTCCTTTACAGTGTTACATGTGTTTTTGTTGTTGCATTTATCCAGCTTATGCAGAATTTGTGCACTAATCTAGTTTATCGAATGCTTTTTGATCTGGGGACTGTATCTCATTCCAGAGTTCAAACGTGAAAACTTTGCATTTTACCAACCGTGATGGAAAATTACCACAATTATCTTAAAAGATATTATTTCCCTAGATCAAATAAATTTGATCAAATGTATCAGATTATTGTAGGGTCTGCACCAGTGGAATTCTTCGTTAAGTTTTTCATGATAGTAACCTGAACGCTTTTTGTGGAAAAGTGGTCCAAGCCCTTAAGTATATGTAAGGATAGAACCCACCTCTCTCACCCCGGAGTCCGAGATGCTAACCACTAGATGCAACACACCCTCCATAAATAAAGGGTGTCCCAATAAGAACGCCGGATTTAAAATGTTAATAAACCATATATTTTTACGCTAAAATTACAATATGAAACATGAATCTTAAAGTGTAGTATCTCCGATTAGTAAACATTATGTCATGTAATATTACGTCTCGTAAGTGCCCACCTGCTGCCTGCTGCCAAGCTCGACTTCTTTTGACAACGTTATTCATCACTTTTTCACAAACTTGCTGTTGAATTTCATTAATGGCACAAATAATTTCCTCCTTCAGGTCTTGGTTTGTTTTCGTAAACAAGCTACTTTAAATATTCAAAAGAAAGTAGTCACTCGGTGTTAAATCGCACGACGAATGTGTGCTTCATCGCTGAACAGCAAAGAAAACATGTAATTTTCATCTTGATTTCCACCCATCTTATAAATTCAAGCCGTTTTACGGGATCTCTTGGCTTGATCTCTTGAGTGAGGGCTTGAATTTTGTGAGGGAACATGTGAAGGTATTTTACCTAAATTATTTGTACTGTGCTCCGAGCTAGGCCTAACTGCTTAACTACGTCGACGAAGAATCTATGTTCTTGCGTTGTGCGTTGTCCTCTACACTATCATGTACAGTATCAATATTTTCAAGGGAGCGACCTGCCCGACTGTGCACTGGTCTTTTAATTTCAAAAACTGAGCCAAACTCTTCGAACATAGAAATCAATCTTCGGACAGATGACTCATTTTGTGCAGTGTCCCGGCCGAAAATAGCGCGCAGTTTCCGCACCGTTTCAGCGAAACGTTCCCCGTACTTGTGGTGCACTTTAACTATGACCCCACGTTGATCCGTAGTGTAACGATTCATGACTACAAATGGAACCTAATACTGATTACATCACTGATCATTTGGTAATTCCCATTGAAATATAGATGAGAATAAGACGCTCCTAATATCCGGCGTTCTTACTGGGACACCCTTTAGTTCTATGATATTGTTGTATAGCACTAATTCCAATTGAAAAAAAACTGAAACCTGCTTTGGGACCTTACATCACCTTGTTACATTGTGTACACCTGACATGGTTGTCTCTGCTGCCCCAGGTGCAGGAGGTCTAAGGGACGTCCACCTACACGTGCCTCAGGCCGTCTTGACAGGCTCCACGGCCACGTTGCTGTGTCGCTATGACCTGGAGGGCGACCTCCTCTACACCATCAAGTGGTACAAGGGTCGAGACGAGTTCTTCCGCTACGTTCCCAAGGAACACCCTCACACCAGAGTCTTCCCACTGCCCGGAGTCATTGTTGATGTAAGTAAGTGTCTGTTATAAAAATAGTTTCAACAGTTGTTCATGCCAAGCTAAGTTTAATAATGTGGAAATTATTATTAAATACAATGGCTGTTATAAATTGTGTAGAAGAACCATTCTGTGGTCTAATTTAGTACAGCTTTATAATATTGTAAGTTCTAATATATGTTACTTTTGCAATTCATTTATTTTATTTTGCTAATTTCCTCACTTGTTATTATCCTAATGTATTTTTTTTTTAGGAGTATAAAGATAAAATTTACACTTACAAACATAGGCTATCCAAAATATTAAACATAACTCTTGTTTTCATAGTTCTCTAGGATTGATACTATATTATCACTATCCTAACTTTAAGGTGCATATTTTAGAGGTGAACATGAATCTAAGGAATGGAGTGTCATAGCTCTGTAGCTTTTTTTACTGATACCAGTTGTTATCTTAGCAAGGAAACTTATTAAAATCCCTATGATCAGGAGCAGCCTAGTCCAGTTTCAATAATCGAAAAGCTACTTACTTTTCTCAGGATTGAACTGGTGACTTATTGATTACTCCACCAAAACCATTCAGCTATCAAATAAAACGTCTCCATACATACTCGAGAATATTTTAGTATTCCCTGCAAGATATCTACCGAGTGTTTGGTTGCAGATCGACGCATCTGGCAGGGATCGTGTGACGTTAATCAGTGTAGACAAGTCCCTCACCAGCAAGTACCGCTGCGAGGTGTCTACTGATGCGCCGGACTTCCATACGGAGGTGGTGTCGGCTCATCTACAAGTCCTAGGTAAGTCCAAGGGGATCGTGTGACGTTAATCAGTGTAGACAAGTCCCTCACCAGCAAGTACCGCTGCGAGGTGTCTACTGACGCGCCGGACTTCCATACGGAGGTGGTGTCGGCTCATCTGCAAGTCCTAGGTAAGTCCAAGGGGATCGTGTGACGTTAATCAGTGTAGACAAGTCCCTCACCAGCAAGTACCGCTGCGAGGTGTCTACTGACGCGCCGGACTTCCATACGGAGGTGGTGTCGGCTCATCTGCAAGTCATAGGTAAGTCCAAGGGGATCGTGTGACGTTAATCAGTGTAGACAAGTCCCTCACCAGCAAGTACCGCTGCGAGGTGTCTACTGACGCGCCAGACTTCCATACGGAGGTGGTGTCGGCTCATCTGCAAGTCCTAGGTAAGTCCAAGGGGATCGAGTGACGTTAATCAGTGTAGACAAGTCCCTCACCAGCAAGTACCGCTGCGAGGTGTCTACTGACGCGCCGGATTTCCATACGGAGGTGGTGTCGGCTAATCTACAAGTCCTAGGTAAGTCCAAGGGGATCGTGTGACGTTAATCAGTGTAGACAAGTCCCTCACCAGCAAGTACCGCTGCGAGGTGTCTACAGACGCGCCAGACTTCCATACGGAGGTGGTGTCGGCTCATCTACAAGTCCTAGGTAAGTCCAGGGGGATCGTGTGACGTTAATCAGTGTAGACAAGTCCCTCACCAGCAAGTACCGCTGCGAGGTGTCTACTGACGCGCCAGACTTCCATACGGAGGTGGTGTCGGCTCATCTACAAGTCCTAGGTAAGTCCAGGATCGACAATGGATTTACTGTATACATTCCATTACTATTTTCAAGTTGTGGCATACGTAGAACATGCTCTCTTATAAATTTGCCATTCTCCTAGATCAGATGAAATGGTTATTTTCACCACACTATGATGTTTTTGACTGTATTACATACGTTAATTAGTGGCTGAAAGTTACGTTTTGCTGGCCATGCCAGCTGTCATCGTAATTTGGGGACCGAGCAGGTTTTTACAGCCCGGGGCCGCAAAATCAGCTGTCCGCTTACTTACTTAAAACATGAATATATGCATAGATATATATGTGTACACAATATATGTTAAATACACAATCAAAATCCATAGCATTGCAATATAATTGTGTTATTTTCACCGCTCCCTAGCAACTATTTTTTTTTTATTTTTGCTGATTCCTCATATTATTTTTTCACATAACCTTAAAGTTGTAGTTGTGTTGACTATCAGTGTGCATTATTATAGTGGTGAATAGTGGTAATAGGGTATAGTGTGGTGAAAAATAGCGTTCGTACCACGGACCGAAATGGTTTTGCAGCTCTCGATCAATTTAAGTTATCGAATTCGTCTCGAACTTAAAAACTATCTCGAGCTGGCAAAACCTCATTTTCGGCCCTAGGTACGAAATATATTGTGCAACAAGTGCACTTTGTGCTCGTGTTACTATAAATAATTATTCTTTCAAACTCTATACAACACGTTTTAGTTTAGGTTATATCCAAGCATTGTACGAAAATAGAATGTTAACACTAAACAACAGGTTAAATCGTATTATCAATACTCAAAGGCTGTGAAACAATGCACCAGCTGATCGTAATCGTAGTATCTGTAAGTGGTACCAATGTATTTACACTTAAGTATACGTGCCTTATAAAGTAAAATAATATTATAAAGTGCCTTATAAAATCACACTGTTTCGTGTTGTTTGGAATACTGGAGTGTGGCAAAGTAAAATGAGTGCGACAAAATAAAATGAATTCGACATAATAAAATGAATGCAGCAAAAGTAAGTAAATGCAGCAATTAGCTACTTTTGCGTAATACAATCAGTGCAAAGAAGCCTGATTTGTCAAGAAACTGTAGAAACATGGTTTTCTGATTAGTCAATATTGAACACAAGTAGGGTGTGAGTTAATGTTTACTCTTTGTTTCTCAAAACTGTCTTTAGTTGAGCACGATTTCAAACTAAAATAGCTATACGTTTGTAAAATATTACTTTTCTCTTGTATTATAACCGAAAGTATAGCACACATTTTAAACTATGTATTTTAAGTGTGGTCGTATAATTTAGGTAGCCTAGCGTATAGTAAACAGTTATCGGATTAGTATTCTAGAAAGAAAGATACTAATGGGATTGTGTTAAAATATACATACGCTAACTAAATTAACGGCCAGTGTCATCATCTGATGCGGCTGATTTACTTGCAAAGGAGTCTCAAACCTGTCCCACGTGATTTGCCCTCATTCAAAATTTGATTGCTTGAAAATACAGAAAAATACAATTGGCAAGCACAGTAATAAGCTACTAAAATCTTTGATCATTAAAACAAAGATGCAGTAAGTTATGGAGGTTTTTCCAGCATTCGTTACTTTACAAACGGTTTTACTAACAAGCTTAAGGAGGTGCTAATTTCCATACAAACAACTAAGTACGAATAAGTAAACCCCATTAAAAGAGTATCTTCAAACTAAACAGAGATCTGTAACTCACGTCGTACCCATATAAGTTGCATGCCCTCCATAGCAGAGGCAGAGAATTGATTAAACACCATACGTCAACAACTTGGCAACCCAACTCGCCAACTTTCTCCCAAACCACTCTCTTGACACATTACAGATGTAGAATGGCTTTGCCTAAAATCTCTTACCAGAGTTTGGCTTTTAAATGGCTTAGCCCTAAATCCTTTTCCCTTAGCGATATTCACTTATGCCCTTTCATCAGTGATTTTGCATTCTGTTTTGAAGTAGAATAAGCTTGCTATTTCATTTTAGTTGTTCGCAAAGGGAAAGGTTTATTTAAAACTTAAAACCATGTGAAGTAACAGTAGTTGTTCAATTTCAATTATTTCGAATATTTAAAAAAATCAGCATTTAAATAGTTCATGAGGCAAGACCAATCAATCTAACAAGTCTAGATTATTTACATTTAATAAACATTTAAAAGAACCGAAGTAGTTAACCCCATATAGCCCATACAGGGTGAATCAGACCCGTACACATACTTTAACGGAATTTACAGCCGCTTGTATATCTCACTTATCATGTTTACAATTAATGTTTACCACTTCTAGAATAGCTAGGGATCTAAATTTTTTGTAGTGGTCGTCTCGGTCCCAAACCAAGCAGAAAATCTAAAAAAGTTACATTTACAAATTAAAGCCCCCTCAAAAATTTCCTTAAATTCCCCCCCCCCCCATTTGAGAAAAACACGGTTTTTCGACACGTTTTTAATTTGTTTAATTACTTTTCGGGCATATAGGCTAGCTGTTTTTAATTATGCAAAAACTGAAAGAAAAGTGTCTAAAGTAACATTTTAAAATTGGAACCCACAAAAAATTTAAATTGGCTTATTTTAAATAAAAAAAAGTGGTTTTTTAACGCTTGGTGGGCCATACCGTTGAGCATGGGTGGTCTAAATGACCCTGTAAAAGTTAAACAATCCTTGAACTTGAAAAAGAAAACAATCCATACTAATCTATTGAACCTAACTAATCGACTAATGTAGTCAAGCAGGGTTTTAAATTGTACCTCATTCTCATTTAAAGCATACGACTGTTTCCAAAGTATGATTTTTTTATATTTTATGAATGTGAATATTAAATTATGTTTTATCTTTGGTGTAGTTTGAGCGTGGGACTTCAGTCTCCAAAGTTTCGGGTTCAAATCCTACAAATCAACTGTGAATGATAATGTCACGACTCTTTTTAAGCCTATCCTGAAGTAACTTAAACGACGGTTCCATGCTAGAGCCTTGACATATATGGTGTAAGGGGAGGACATACAAGCTGTATTGTTACAGACACCCCTGTAGGACTACCCCAAGTGGAGGTGGAGAAGATGAGCTACGCGGTAGGAGATATCCTGAGAGCCAACTGCACTTCACCTTGGAGCACTGTGCCGCTCAACCTCACCTGGCTCATCAATGGTGTCAAGGTGGGGAAATAGTTAATTGAAATACGATATGCTTGAGATGTATACTAAACAAGATCATTAAAATTGAACAAAGCTTGTAGTTTATAAGCCCATTAGAGCTTTGATATCTTGTTTAACTCTTCTTTGCTTAGAAAAGACGTTTTAAGTGTCAAACGACTCAATTACAAGTTGATATCTAGATAATATTTAGCACTTGGAGGAAACCCTAAAGCGTCTCCAAAAGTGACTGAAAATGAATGAATGGTGCTTTTAGCACCATAATCCAACTTGCTAGGTTAATCCAATCAAAGGTTGAATACAATTTAATTTTTTAAAGATTTTATTGTAATAAAAATACGATCACTTTAGATGAGGTCCACACAAACACACAAGTTTTCTGAAGCCGAAACCAAACACATATATTTTTAAGTAATATTCATTTATACCGAGATTTATAATTGCATCAGGGAGTCAAAAATTGTATATGTTCATTAGGCTGTCAGCTGTCACAATTGGCTAATATATTGACAAACACAATAAAACTAATTAAGGTTCCTTCAATTTTACATGTTCCAAACTACATACTGTTATAGGTCAACGAGAGTGACTATGTAGACCTGGCAGATGATGAGACTACTAACAGCACCACAGTAGCACTACACACCGAGGTCTGCAAGGGTGGTAGACTGAGACTACAATGTGTGACGTCACTGTACGATGTATACTGTAGCTGATGATGATAAATACTGTTATAGGTCAACGAGAGTGACTATGTGTACCTGACAGATGATGAGACTACCAACAGCACTACAGTAGCACTACACACCGAGGTCTGCAAGGGTGGTAGACTGAGACTACATTGTGTGACGTCACTATACGATGTATACTGTAGCTGATGATGATAAATACTGTTATAGGTCAACGAGAGTGACTATGTAGTCCTGGCAGATGATGAGACTACTAACAGCACCACAGTAGCACTACACACCGAGGTCTGCAAGGGTGGTAGACTGAGACTACAGTGTGTGACGTCACTGTACGATGTATACTGTAGCTGATGATGATAAATACTGTTATAGGTCAACGAGAGTGACTATGTAGTCCTGGCAGATAATGAGACTACCAACAGCACCACAGTAGCACTACATACCGAGGTCTGCAAGGGTGGTAGACTGAGACTACATTGTGTGACGTCACTGTACGATGATACTGTAGCTGATGATGATAAATACTGTTGTAGGTCAATGAGAGTGACTATGTAGACCTGGCAGATGATGAGACTACTAACAGCACCACAGTAGCACTACACACCGAGGTCTGCAAGGGTGGTAGACTGAGACTACATTGTGTGACGTCACTGTACGATGTATACTGTAGCTGATGATGATAAATACTGTTATAGGTCAATGAGAGTGACTATTTAGACCTGGCAGATGATGAGACTACTAACAGCACCACAGTAGGACTACACACCGAGGTCTGCAAGGGTGGTAGACTGAGACTACAGTGTGTGACGTCACTGTACGATGTATACTGTAGCTGATGATGATAAATACTGTTGTAGGTCAATGAGAGTGACTATTTAGACCTGGCAGATGATGAGACTACTAACAGCACCACAGTAGCACTACACACCGAGGTCTGCAAGGGTGGTAGACTGAGACTACAGTGTGTGACGTCACTGTACGATGTATACTGTAGCTGATGATAATAAATACTGTTGTAGGTCAATGAGAGTGACTATTTAGACCTGGCAGATGATGAGACTACTAACAGCACCACAGTAGCACTACACACCGAGGTCTGCAAGGGTGGTAGACTGAGACTACAGTGTGTGACGTCACTGTACGATGTATACTGTAGCTGATGATGATAAATACTGTTGTAGGTCAATGAGAGTGACTATGTAGACCTGGCAGATGATGAGACTACTAACAGCACCACAGTAGCACTACACACCGAGGTCTGCAAGGGTGGTAGACTGAGACTACAATGTGTGACGTCACTGTACGATGTATACTGTAGCTGATGATGATAAATACTGTTATAGGTCAACGAGAGTGACTATGTAGACCTGGCAGATGATGAGACTACTAACAGCACCACAGTAGCACTACACACCGAGGTCTGCAAGGGTGGTAGACTGAGACTACAATGTGTGACGTCACTGTACGATGTATACTGTAGCTGATGATGATAAATACTGTTATAGGTCAACGAGAGTGACTATGTAGACCTGGCAGATGATGAGACTACTAACAGCACCACAGTAGCACTACACACTGAGGTCTGCAAGGGTGGTAGACTGAGACTACAGTGTGTGACGTCACTGTACGATGTATACTCCACAGTTGCTGAGGTCTGGCTGGACGAGGACCGGCCAAGATTAGCTTCAGTCCTTGGTACTAGAGAGTCTTCTGCAGGTGTGTTTGTTTTTCTCTTTATTTGTGTTAAAACCTTAGTAGTTGTAAGGTAATAATATAAAAAATTATATAATTTGTCCCAAATATTTCCCACGTTAAAACGACCCTACTATTCTATAAAAGCATCTAAACATATTACATTTTTATCTCTCAACATTCTTTAACATATGATTCCATAAGTGCCTGTGCCTACTTGCTTAAAGTCATAAGATAGTAATAGTCAAAAACATTTGCTTCAATCTAGAATATGCAGGTTGACCAAAAATCTTCCTGGGGATTACCTTGTTTAAGCATATCGAATTTAGACATTCATAATATATATACAAAATTATATAAAATACCGAGGGAAGAACTTTATTTCATCGAAATAGGTTTTTAGGTTCCATAAGAAATGCTTGCAGAACTAATAAACGTGTAGCTTGGTATTCAACTGGTCGTACCATGTAATGTGCCTAACTGCTTCCCTTACATTAGCTCTTGTTTCAGACGTGCTTAGAGTTTCATATCGTAGAAAATATAACCTTTTAGCAGCTCATTTCAACTCCTTTTAAAGCGTTTTCAATTTACTACAAAATATTCTTAAGAACAGGAATGGTTCCTTGGTTTAAACTTACAGCAATATTAAAGTCGAGAAAGGGTTATCCATCCGTTAAATTAGTTACTACTATAGTATTTTTAATGGAAAGCTAAATGTTTATGGTAGATATACATGGTGGGATAAAAGTCCCGGGACGGTTAAATATTTCAAAAAGTAATAAATATAGAGCTTTGAAATTTAGTAATATTTATCGGCTTTAAAATCTTTCTAACACATGATTCAGTGATACACTACCTCTTCAGGGGAAAGGCCCACTAGGAGTCAGAAGGCAATTTTAAATGTAAGCACAGGTCGATATGCACACTAGTAGAATACAATGCCATTAATTTCAGCTCAAACGGACAACCGAGTCAAAAATAGCAGCCGTTCAACGATTTCTTGAGTCTGCCATTTCGAATCTTTGAATGGCTGCCATTTTATACTCAGTAGTTCTTTAGTGATCGAATAAGAGCTATCTATATAAAATCTTGAAATATTTAGCCATCCCGGGACTTTTTCCCCCTGTATGCAAGGTGGTTCACGTTAGGTGTCTCAAATTCATTTCAGACAAACCGTTGGCCCTACAATGATGAAATTAAAATATTTCCCACTAAATCAACCCTAAGGAATAACGTAAAAATATAAAGGAATAACGTACGTTTTTTTTTAATACAGAGTGTTTAAAAACCAGAGGGTTACTAGTTCAAATCAGGTAATATCTTAGATATCGCCTGGTTTTTCTACTAGATAGCACCTGATTTATTTTTAAATCAGCTGTCCAATTGTTGCGAAATATAGTCCTATTAATGTGGCCTGTGTTAACAATTAACATGCGTTTTATATGTGGAAAGCATGTTATTTGTTAATAACTCAAAAACTTAAAGATATATGGGTATGGTTTAAATTTGAAAGTTGCTTGCAATAGCAAGACCTATAAAATAATGTACTGTTTGACATATGATGCTTTTTGATTTTTTTTAGTTTTAGCTATTTTTGTTTGTTTTTAAGATAATATTATAATATCGGATACCAGAATAAAGATTAGCTTATAAGGAACGCGATATTTGAATCAAGATATCTGCAATTTCAAGAAAAAGAAAGGTTATTCCGTAAAAATCTAACTTTTTTAAAAAAGCGGCCATCATTTTGAAACTGCTAAAGGTAATTTAGATCTTTTTTTACCAAAATATTTCTTTTAATAGGGCTTTAAAATTATGTATAGTATGATATATGTTCGTATTTGATATTTACGATATTTGAACTAGTGGCTCTCTGGTTTTTGAGCTGTATCCCTGTATTCAAAAACTTTTATTTTTTTACATTGTTCTTTGGGGTCAATTTAGTGGGGAATAATTTTATTTCATCATTGTAGGGCCAACGGTTTGTCTGAAATCAATTTGAGACACCTTACGTGAACTACCCTGTATATACAAAAACAATAACAGAAGATTGAAACAATAAGTCATGCAAGTATCTGTTTGAAGTATAATTTCTTAATGTTATTTAGACCTTGTGAAAAAGTTACATATTGACTTTCAACTGGAAAAGAGAAATTAACAAACACACATTAGTCCAATAATATTATTTTGTGTGTGATTTATCGGGGTTTAAGTATGAAGTATTAACTTCCCTTTTTCATGCAAATTAATAGATTGTTAACTCAGCATGTATTTGTGGTTCCAGATAGTGGAGGAGGTACAGTACTTTGGTCTCTGAGCGCACTTCTTGTATCTCTACTAGTCGCCAGCTAACCTTCCGGCTGAAAACTGTGACAATAAGTAGTTAATGACCACATACGGTTTTATAACCATATATTTTTGCAAACTGAAATTTTGTTGAGGATTTTATAGTTACAAGCCAACAATAAATGTTTACAACATATGTGCAATATGTACAGTATGATTGCATTAGTGCGGAATCCTAAGACAAAATCAAGAATACAAATAAAATAGTTGTGTAATTGGTAGAATGTCCATACAGTTGTTAACTAGGCTGATGAAACAACCACTTTGATCATATTCATTACGGTACGATCGTATTTTTAATCAAGATATGCTGATAAATATAAGCTAGAATTTAGTACATATTCAAAGTTCGTCATAGATTTCGGTTAGTTTTCTTTATTTATTTTTTTGTATGAGCAAATCGTTTTGCGTAGCTTTGGGCAAACTTGAGTTCCAAAATAAAAAATTACAAATGTCAACCAATATGATTTTTATCTAATATCTTGTAGAGATCAACGTATTTATATTGAAGAAGACTCTATATCAAGTTATCACGCAAAATATTCTATAAAGGGAGAAACGATAAACAAATTTATTCCAGAAACACTAGCTACATTTACTTTTGTTAACGTTTTATTTAAACATGACTTCGGCTATGTTACAAATCTGATCTGTAAAGGTTACTTATATTTAACTTATCCTGCAGCAATGTCTTGAATAACGTTTATATTACACAGTATTGCTTTAGGTATCAAAATAACTTGAGAATCATTGGTTATCAAGTTGACTGCGATGAAACATTTCATAATGTCTCTCCCTGAAGAAAAATCTTAATTAAAACGTTCCACAGAGTTTACACAAAGAGGAAAAATTAAGCATTCTTGTTAAAAGAATACACCTTGTTATCTTATCCTTTGTACTTATTGTAGAGGTGGTCAAAATATAAACTACAGCAAGTT